GCAGCACACATGTGCCTTGAGGATGGCTTCTACCATAAATATCTGTTGTAGGTCAATTTGTTCTTTAGGTAAATTTGTTTCAAACTAGGTTATATTAATTTGATCTCAGCCTAGGTCAGTTGCTGATGTCTGTTTGTCTGCTTTTTTTTTTTGGCTGTGTTGAGATGTCTGGAACCTGAAATTTTTTTAAAATACAGTCAAACCTTCCGTAAGCGACCATCCAAAATACAGACAGACAGACAGGCATCAGCAACTGACCTAGGTTGAGATTAAATTAACCTAGTTTGAAACAAATTTACCTAAAGAACAAATTGACCTACAACATATCCCTTGCATGAGAATCGAATATTTTCAAGCCCACATTACCTTTACAATAGATAGCAACTGCAGTACATCCTAATGTCAAGACAAAATTGTTGAAATTTTTGGATATGTGATTGAAAGGCTCTATCTGAGGTACAGTACTGATATCCTTCTACTGTAGCTTCTTGATGAATAGTGCTAGTGTAGCTTTCACTGTATTGAAGTCCATAGTCAGCCTCAAACACATTTAAAAGTGTGGGTAATTCTGTCTGCATTGAAAATGATTGTCTGGTTAACTGAGCCAAACTTGAATACAACTGATTTCCAATATTCATTATTGACACGAGATCCCTAGCAGAATTGATTCCTTGTTTGTTATTGTAATAGGCCATTTTACAGTTGTGTACTTAGTTGCCAAGCCTTTGATTTGGAGTGAGGCTGAAGGTGGCCTTGTCATAATAGAGACCTGTATCTACTTAGCATGATAACAAAGTGATTTACATTTGAAAGGCAGCCAGGTTTGTATCATAACAAGGTCAACCCTAGTCTCACTCCCATTCAAAGGCTTGGCAACCAAGCACACAACTGTAAAATGGACTATTCAAAGAGCATAAACTCATTGTAACACATTGTTGTCCTGAATTTTGTCCAAATACTTGGCTATACGATGCCGCTATTGTTTTGCTAGTCAATTTACACTGGAGTAGGACAAGGGTTTTACTCTATATCTGAACTCAGTTGAAATTTACAATAGTTTGCACGTGTCTGACTCTTATAAAGACACATGGGTCTATTACAAGAAAACAATAATAAATACCGACTTGCTCTATACTTCAATTTAATTATCCTTTGATATAACCTCACAGAACAGTACAACAAGTGCTTTTTCTCATGTTATGTAACTTTATTTAATCTTACCCTCTTCGTATTAAGCTTACAAACATTCTTTATAACTCATCTATCCTTCACACAGCGATGTAGCCAAGAGGATTCCGGTACGCTTGGACGAATACGTTCATCAAGAAACTCCTTCAGTTTCCTGCCCTATCTTCGGAGACGTTTTAGAGTAGCTTCTGGTATTCTACTGGGTTCTCGATCACGTCTAAATACACAGTTGTGTTTACATGTAAACATAATATGAGATAGCTCGTTTGATATAGCAGGTTTCGCTTGATATTTCTCGATAGAAGGTTCAGTCGGAAAGGATCGCTCGTAAATTGATCTCTCGTAAAGTTCGCGGACCGACCCGTTCCCAAAACGCTCCACAAGTTTTTGTGTGGGTCTTAGGCGAACGGTGTGTGACTTTGTATGTGTATTGAGCGTAACAGCCATCGAATTTCTTTCGCGCACATCAAGCGAGGAATTGTCCACGAAGGTAGCCATTTAGCCATTGGTTTAAATCATGCGTTCTGGGGTTCATTCTACGGATGCGCGAACACTTCGCGCATGCGCTGTAGTGGAACTGCGTTTTGTGACTGAATGCTACTGAACGCAAAAAAAAAACCAGATGCACGGCTGCGTGAACTCGGGACTTTCTTGGCTGTTGTTTTTTTGAAGGTTTCACCACTTATTTGCTTTGGACTACTGCAGACCCAGGGGCTGTTGACTTTTGATTAGAATAGACATAAATGTAAACACAAGTTGATTTTATTAAAATAAATCAATCCGTAACTGAACAAAAAACTCTACTAATATTGTCATTGGTAGAGTTTCACTTGCTAATTTTCATGACAACATATGTTTTAGTGCAAAGTTTCTTATGAAAAAAAATAATCAAGTATTTTTCACATTTTAAAAACACAACGTACAAGTTGCTTGATATCTTTAGGTCAATGTAAAGCCTTCAAGCCCTGGTCAAACGACGCATGATAGTCGATGATAGTTGAAGCGCGCGCTTCCGTTTAACCACCAACTATCATGCGGTATCATCGACTATCACCAATTAGTATATACTAAAACAGTGGATGGCGTTGAAGGCGCGCTCTGATTGGCTAGTCAAACTCCAAATAGCCTTTGCTATTTTACCTCCGAGAACCTCGGGGAAAAAATGGCGTCCCGGTTTGCATCCGTGACAAGCGAAGAAATCACTCAAATCAGCGACGAAGCAGTCCCTGAAAACACAAAGAAAGCGACTAAATTTGGTTGGCCGTGTTTAAAGGTAATGGTTTAAGTTTTTAACCCGGAGTTTATCGATAAAACCAATGAGAAAGGTTTTGTTTACAAATGCAAATTAATCTTGCGTAACCTCACTTGTTCACTTCCGCTCGTGAAAATGTTGGAACCGTTGCTGGAATGTATGAATTAAAATCAATTTTTGGTGGTGTATATTATCTCACTGTTTTGGTATATACTAAAACAACTATTCATCTCAGTGTCGGTTGTTAGCGGTGAATATTTAGGGAGTTACAATAAAGTAAGTAAGTATGTATGCATGTATGTATGTATGTACTATGTATGTATGTAGGTATGTAGGTATGTATGTAGGTATGTAGGTATGTAGGTATGTAGGTATGTAGGTATGTAGGTATGTAGGTATGTAGGTAGGTAGGTAGGTAGGTATGTATGTATAGTTTTTGGTCGGCTGTTTCCTCCGAAAATCGGCGGGCTCGTTTAAAATGGCCCGGTTTAATCTCAGGCCCGATAGCGGTCAAGATTTCCTGAAATGTTTCAAAGTTTATTCGCAACATTTCCTTGTAAGCGGCAGTGTCCTCCACTCGCAATTCTTCCACCAATTTCAACATCCCCCTTGCGTTTCTCCTTTTAATCCATTCCTTTGTCCGTCCTCTCTTCCACCAACGCTATCCAGATTCATCCTCCGTACACTCCTCCATCAAATCGATTACTAGTAAGCAAGCTGCCGCCCTCTTTCGTCGTGATAAATTCATTCTTCAACAATTTTGTTTGTCTCACGCAAAGCCATGTTAGTGTTCACATTTTACGCGAAAAGAGCCTGGAACTAGCTGCTCGCGTGACTGCCGGTGATCATCAACTATCACGAACTTTTTTGGCCGTTTGACCATGCGAATGATAGTTGATGATAGCTGATGATAGTTTGAAGAGAATCATCGACTATCATGCGCCGTTTAACCAAGGCTTTACATTGCAAAATTTGTAAGAAGATATGTTTCACTGTTATATGATAGATTGAAGTTTACTAGTTTGAAGAGGCTCTCTGCTATTTCGTAAGGTTGTAATGTTTGAATGTCAGTTTCCAACATTTTGGAAAGTATATCTTCATCTATTCTCAGAGTTGGCTGTTGGGCATCGTTATTAAGTACCACTATTTGCGCACAGATCTTTGTTTTGAATCGGTTAGACCTCATCATAAAACCACAACTGTCACATTTGACTACAGTCGTGCAAGTGCCTTGCATGATCTTTTTGCAGTTTTGGCAGTTTAAATATTGTTCAATACTCTGAATGGAATCAATTTCTGTGACTTGAAGATTTTCTTCAGTCTGCCTTCCATTGGTGTCAACTGATAGGTTTACCAAACTGTCGTCATTGCACACTGTAACTTTGGTGTCGGGAGCAGTGGCGAGTTTCTTGTTTCCTCCACGTATTCTGACCTTAACGGTCGTGAATGTATAGGATTGATCTGTAGAATGTATCAAAAGGTTTTAACAGAAAAAAAAATTAACCAAAAATCATTTGCCAGAGATGTCCCAATTAGGCAATGATGAGATCTTGGTATTTGGTATAATGCGGGAAAATTACAATTGAATACACTTAACCGATCGTTGAGCAAGTTTTGATCAACCTACCTTCCGTAATTTGGTTAGTGTGGTTCTCCCAAATGTCCAAGGGAATGGAACCACTCTCATCGGCCACCACAGCTTCGACTAGGTTGTATCGCTTCCTAGGACTGCCCACTTCGCGTTGTTTATTCAAACTGATTATTTTTCCTCGAGGAGAGACCACATCCCATTCTTTATTTGTATTGAGGATGTCCAAGATGGTAGTAGGCTCTGGTTCTGTTTCTTGAAGACCTGGGTTGAACTGGAAATTGTACTCCGTGAGTTGCAGTGTTCGGATATGTCCGTCATCTCATTCACTACTACTTCTTCGTCTTTGGTGTAGGTTAGGTCTCTCAACTTTATGGGCGTGTGGTTGTTTGCACTTTCAAGAAGCAGTGGTCGTTTATGCTTGGAATGCAGAAGGCCATTGTTGATTGGCTATCTCATCTGATTGTCATAATTAGCATAAATTATCATGGTAACGAAAGACCACGAGGTAGAAATAAACGTGGCAGTTGGGTTCTAGAAACCTAGTGCTCTTTGTTCGCCGCTTACTACTCTTCCCCTAAGTCAACTCTACAAATCAACAGACATGTACCAGGTTATTCGGGGACGTTTGAAGGACGAAAGAACTGTAATCAAGTGTATTCATTCTATTGCGACGCTGGTTAGAAATAGTGTGTACATATCCAATGACTGCTGTTTCTGGCGGGAAATCTTAGCATAAATTATATAATAGTTAATAGGTTTACACTAGAGGAAATTGTTCCGGATTCGTGATGAATCCGAAACGTTTTAGTACCGGATTGATTTTGCCGTTTGCACGAAAGTGGACGAAACCGAAATAAAAACTCCCCGGTTTGGTCGTGTCTCCGGAGATTTTGAATCCGGAATTTAAAGTGGGAACTTTGAATCCGATAACTTTTGAATCCGGAAAGTTTTGTCGTGTAACCGATCATTGACATAATTGGATTGGCCAGAACACAAGGCCACATAATTGTTATCATCTATATGACAATACTAAGTAAAATCCTCTATTAGAATCTCTTACAAAAAAAAAAACAAACAATATTCTACAATGTTGTAAAAAACCTTTTATTTTGGGGAAAGGGTGGAGAGGTTTAGGGTACTGGAACAATCCAATAATTTACTAATCTTGAATAGGGTCAATTAAATGTCCACTTAATATTAATTACTTATTAATAATACATCATAACACACCAGATGTTCCTGCAAAAGCTGTAAGCAAATCATTGTCATCATCAACAACGTCTACATCAGATGAATCATTGGGTTGATTGCCAAGGAAAGAACTTGTATCCATCTGGGAAAGTGAAATGTTGTCCATGACCATTTCAAACAGTTCATCATCAAGTAAAATATCACTCCATTTGTCAAGTTGATCCTCACTAAAAACAACATTGTCGTCATCATCATCATCATCACCATTGACATCATAAGCATCATTGCTGTTGAGATTTGTGTCATGAAAAGTTTCACTAATTACTCGGACAATCTCTAGTGCATGCCTTTTATGCCAGATTTCCACTGTTCTGTAAACATCAGACATTTCAAATATGTGCTCCAGGTTATCAAGAACCTGTGAAATTTGAAGATCTCCAAATCCTAGCATAAATTGAATGTTGGTCAATGTCCTGAGATTTACTTTTGCAGCCATGCCTACAAAATCAACCAAGAGTGACTTGTGATACTTTATCAGGCAACTTTTTACATGCTCCCTCTGTAGGGGTTGAATATCTCTTGTCCTGCCTGAACTTGTGCTACTCTTTGCATCTACAGACACAGGATATTGAAGTGAAGTTTTGCATTCTGGCAAACCGCAGTCACAGTTATTAGCACAATTATCACAGCAGAGATGTTTCAGTAGAGGCCTCTCATTATCATTGTCAAAGTGTTCCAGAATTGCTTTTCTTCGACAATCAGTTAATTTAATAAACAACTTAATGTCTCCCTCCACGTGATTCAAAAGCATGCCATTATACAACAAAAATGAGCTACTCTGATGGCCATCATACCCAGCTCTCCCAGTTTCTTGAACAAAGGCTTCAATATTCTTTGATGGCCCATAATGGATGATCCTGTGAACAGCTTTGCAATTGACTCCCATGCCAAATGCTATAGTCGCAACTAAGACCCTTATGATCCCATCCTCGTGCTGGAAGGAGATCAAAATGTTTTTCTTGTTTGAGGCAGGGGTGCATGAATGCAACATCTCTACTAAGGGCAATTTTTGACCAGTGCTTGTCTTCTCAATGAAAAGGTCTTTCCCTAATAGTCCTCTTAGCATTCCATAGATAATCCCACACTGTTTTATGGTCTGACAGTAGATTATGGTCCTGTCACACTTATCTTTTAATTTCCTGATGTCTTCTACAAGCCACTCGAAGAATAATTCGAGGTCACAATCTTTGTTCATCTTTGTAACTGAATAGGTAAGATTTACCTTGTTTGGACTTTCTTTAATGTCAAATGGATTCTGCATTAGGAGAACTTTTTTGATGGTGTCTTCAGTTAGCTTTGTTGCTGTTGCAGTTAATGCAACCATTGGGGTATTTGGAGCAAGGGACCGCAACTCATACAGCTTTCCATAGCAATGACGAAACGCAGCCATCTTATTGCTTTGGGATGTCCCCCTGTAAAAGAAAAACCAATAATCATCAAAAATTTAAACTGCAGCAAAACAATGAAAAGGATGGTATTTGATCAATTTGCATTGCAAAGCAAGATTAAAATTTTATAAGTGGAGACCTAAGCAGAAACTTTAAGCATATATATATACAGACTCCACTTACCACTGCCTTATTACGTGGGCTTCGTCGATGGCCAAAGCACATAATTTTTTGGAATACACAGAATTTCCAAGCATTGTTCTCCACCGTTCGTTTTGAATCCAAGCTTCTGGGGAGCCAAAGACAACAGAAATCTTTCCCTTTTCTATCAAAGTCGCCTCTTCTTCAGTGTAAGAGCTAATGTTCGCCGCTGTAACTCCCTTGCCTCTCAAATATTCCACTTGATCATCCACTAGAGTGAGCAAAGGCGACACAACAACACAAATGTGGCCTAGCTGACTTGATACGTGGTCGATGACTAACGGCAAAGCTTGAAAAATCAGAGATTTTCCGAAGCCAGTCGGCAAATTAACGAAAATATCCTTTTTCCTTTCAATTAACTTCGATATTGCTAATTGCTGATGCGAATTTAAAGCCTGTATGCCGAATTTTGACGCTACAAGATTGAAAGCTTCTTCGAGATCCGCCATTATCTGATCCATAAAAGGAGCCAGGTGATTGGTTGAAATTTAAGGCGCGAACATTCGCAAGAAAATGAAAGCCAAACAATGATTGGTTCATTTCCGAGAAAGGAATGTATGTCGGTTTGAAGCAGCCGCGTGGGGACGGGGAGCGTTGCGTGACTCCGGCCCGAGCGGCTGCGAAGGAGACTATTTTTGGGGAGGCCGATTTTCACTTCGTCGATCGAACGATGAAACAACACTGGGCTTCGTAACCATCCCATTTCAAATGTTCCCGGAGTTGTCGTTGTGTGAAAACTGTCAGGAATCCAAATATCCTTTCAGTGTAAACATCTACGAATCCGAATAATCCAAAATTGATGAATCCGGAAACATTTACGAATACGGAAAACTCTCCTCTAGTGTAAACCTAGTCTTAGAAAGTGATGATGTTGTGAATGAAAACGGATTGTAAATCCTTTTCGTGGGAGTTGTAGATTGTGAAGGTGAAGAATGCAGTGGAGATGTTACCAAAAGAGAGGGAGATGACGAACTTGCACCTTTCAGGGGCGTTTTATTGCGCCGACGACTTGATTTTTACTCATCCCTACATTGAAGCGAGAGGAGCGAAAGTGTGAGTTCACATTGTGGTCTTGCTCCATATACGAAGGATCCTTACCTTTTAGAAAACATACGTAGGCTAATTGTGATTGGTCACGGTAATATTTGTCGATGTGTTTGATCCATTTGCAGAAATTGTTCCCTGTGCTAGCAGTCTCTTGTTCTGAAAAATCCCACTTTTTATAAATTTAAATGTTATGTTCATTTAGTGAAAGATTTAGGTTTTATATTTTTAAGATTAATATGTTCACAGTTTAATCACAGTCTTAACACAATCATGAGATGATCAGAATAATAGACACTTAGCACTTCATTTCTAATCTTATCATCGATAGATTGTTTAACATATATTTGTTCCAGTAAACTACCACTCGATATGAATGTAGGTTTATCAACAATTTGAATGTATCCTAAAGAATTTATTAGTCGCTGTAATGAGTCATCAATAAAGAAATTGATGTCAAAATCACCTAGTATTATGTCAATAGAGTTTATTTCGACAATGTTATAGAGATTTTGAAGATAGTGCTGAGCATTGACATTGGTTTTCCTGTAGATAAATAAAGAATGTCATTCTTTTCATGGATCCTGTTTCTAGTATGACAAACATCAAACCATGAATACTTTGTAAATACTCTTTGTTCAAGATATTGATATGGGGCTTTGTGCATAAGGCTGACAAGGCCAAACTTAAATATTTATCATGAGGATGATCTTGCCTATGTAAATTGTAAGGATACAAAGTATCTCTGATAGTTTGGTCTGAATAATTAGGTAAAGGTTGAGTTTCTGTGAGAGCTAAGAAATCACATTTAGTGATCCTTTCATCATGTTTGATATCAATACTATGCTTTCTTAATGATCGTATGTTTAGTAGAGCTACCTTAAGAGTATCTTTATCATTATCCTCTGCTGTGGTAGGAATACATAAATTTTTCTGTCTCAATCTATTATTCTAAGTGTACCTTAGGATTGACTCGTACATGTTTGTTTTCTGTTTGACTAATGACCTGCAAGCCTTGGAAAGATGTTGCTCTGCTTAATGCTACATAAATTTGCCCATAGTTGAAACTCTTTTGTCTATTCAATTGAAAGCTGACAACAATGTCACTCAGTGTTAATCCTTGTACTTTGTGTACTGTGCAAGCCCATGCTAATGTAAAAGGAAACTACAGTCTTTGTAACTCTGGAGAAGAGGGTTTTCCTGGTCTAATTTTTATTCTTGCAAGTATGGGTTGTATTGGTACAGCATTGTTTTCTCTAGCATATTTATCTGCATGTTTTTGTATAGCATTGATGCCAGCTTGACGGTCATCGAAGTTGATATAGATAACAGAAGGGCTGTTTGTATTGGGATTGATTGCTACTTTGTGACAGATCCCAATTGGCTATTAATTAATCTATCACTCATGTCAATATTGATAGTTATCATTACCCTGGCATTTACTTTGATCAATATTTCTGAGTCAAAGCCACCAGTTTCAGATCTGCTTCTTGCCAAAACTTTGTCAATGTCTTGTTTTGTGACATTTTGTGGATATTGATCAATAGCTTTTAGTCTGTATAGTGTTGTATTTAGTTGATGAAGGTGTTCATTATTATGTTGATCTACAACTGCATTTTCTGCAAAGATGTATAATGCTTGTGATTGGTAATAATTGTTGTTTTGATCGTTCAAATTCAGTTCTCTAGATTATATGATTTTGATGTCATCTTCAGTGTGAGAAGCTGTCCTTAACCTATTCAATAATTCTGTGAATGACTGATCTTTTTGTCTCATAATCTCAGTTAACTCTATCATTGTAAACAATAACCAAGGATGACATAAATTAAAGACATTATTTTTATACTTCTCAAGCACAAGTTTTCTATGAATTGGACCAAGTTGATAAAAATTACCAACAGTGAGAATGGAAAGACCTGCGAAAATCTGATAATTTGATGTAGCAAAAGTGTCTTTAAGCCTTTGATGAATGTGAAGCAGACCCGTGTTTGATACCATTGATATTTCATCAATTATTATCAATTTCAATTCTGAGAGTGTTATTCTGAGTTGTGTTCTCTTTTGGTCAGACATTGGTGGTACATGATCACCTGATTCCTTTGGTATTGCTTAAGCTGTGTTTACTGTAGTTCCATTGATATTGATGGCAGCTACTCCTGTTGGAGCTATTAACATTATCGATGGTTTTTCTAGATTACTGCATGGTCCATGCCTGAATGTTTTTGCAGCAGTGTGGTATATTGTTTTAATTAAATGAGACTTTCCTGAACCGCCACCTCCAGTTACAAACAAATGTATACTAGATACACTTTGTGGTTTTAAACTGTTTAAATTCTTAACTTTGTTTCTACACCATGTAAGTGCAATGTCATATGCTTGACGTTGTTCAGTGTTCAGTGATCTGACTGACTCACGAAGATTGTCATCAGAGATTTCAGAAGGCTGCATATACGTCGCTACTGTACCAGTTGCTGAATGTTCAGAACTTGTTATGTTATCAAGATGTTCTGGTGATAAGTTATTAAATGACTCCTCACTATTGGTATTTTCTTGTAGTTCCAACTCTAAATCCTCATTTTCTTGATCATTAATAGGGTCATATGAGTGAAGTATAGTGATGTCATGATTATTTCTAAGTGTTTCAAGTGCTTCAATTACAGCATCTGAATCTGGCCCAAATACATTCTTATTTTGTTGAACTACTGCTTGAATATTTGGTTCACAAAATTTAGACATATAAATTTGATCAGTACTGAGAAGTGCACTTTCTTCTCTCCGTGGATAGTATAACATTAAAAGTTGATGGAAGTATCTTTTGGGTTCTTTTGTTTTATTAGGAGTGCAGTGCCATACAAGAGCTTTTACCTTTCTACATTACATGACTTCCGCCCCATTCAGTAATCTTATTTTTTTAGGGAGAAAGGATGCATCATCATTTGAATCTGGATGTGCCAGTTCAATAATATTATCACTAAGAATTTCAGGCTGAGCATCAGCTGTTTCAGATATGTCAGATTTGTAGTCCTTATAATAGTAAGCAGCAAACTCAGCTAAACACGTTATTTACAGATGGAATATAGTTTGGTCTTATAGTGTAACATTCAGTGATATTGGACTTGTATATATCTGTACTATCATCATTCTTGACTCTTTGCTACTCTCAATCTTTTTTCTGGCATGTCTGTGCTTACAAAAACAGTTTTAGGAAATATTTTTCTTAACCAAAGTTCAGGCATTCAATAATAAATGCTCTCATGTGAGCTTACTTCTCATGAAGAAAGAAAAGCTGCCCTAATTTTCATTAGCCCATCCTTAACATTTAAATTTGTTTCTTATTTTACCTATTGGATTTACGTTGGTGAGTAAAATCTCAGTAAAAAATGTTTCAACTCTATATTGATAGTGTTTCGCTGTAAGGACAGGATTGAGATTTAAAAGCCTGCATCTTTCACCGTAGGATAAAGCGTCTACTTCCTCATCACTCATATTTGACCCATTAGCTCTCGATATAATTTGAAACAATTCAGGTCACCTCAAATCAGGGCATGATAAGGTCATAAACCATGTTGGAATACCTAACTGTTTCACCATTGCCACTATTTCATACATAAATTTTTGCCAATAGCATGGAGAAACAAATAAGCTTGATCTCGGGAAGCAAGATTCTGCATAATTTCTGTACTTGATTTTACTTGGAATGGGAAGCTGTTAAGCAGTGACCATTAACTTTTTTAGTGCAATATTAATGGCATCTGACACCTTTTTCTGTTCTATTATAAACTGGGCAAAGAATATATATATTCAGGATTGGTAGCAGAATGACCACTGTAATACAGCAATCGGGTGTTGGAATATTTAGCAGGTGATAATTTTTATGTCTCTTTCAGCTGTATATCCAAATCTGCCCATTGGAAATAATACTGGAAATGCAAGTTCTTCACATGATTTATCAGTCCTCAAAGATACAGGATGTTTATTTTCACCTGGAGCAACATTGTAAATTTCTCTTCCAGTAGAAACATTAGAGCTGTTTTCTTGTATAATGACTGGGTAATTTGGGTTGATTGCTTGTAGACATGATTTATTGGCAGGGATTCTGTATTCATTTAAAGGGTGATCTTGTTCTTCTATTGTTTCATTATCTTTTGTAATACTACAATTACTTTTGCCAGAAATATTCTCTGATGCCTCCCTGCTGAAAATCTTTGGAGGATCTTTAAAGATCTTCATGAGGACCTTTGAGGATCCTCCCAAGGATCTTTCATTTTCTTGCCAAGATTCTCAAGGATCTTTCATTTTCTTGCCAAGATCCTCAAGGATCTTTTATTTTCTTGCCAAGATCCTCAAGCATCTTTCATTTTCCTGCCATTAGATCCTCGAGGATCTTTCATTTTCTTCCCAAGATCCTTGAGGATCTTTTATTTTCTTGCCAAGATCCTCAAGGATCTTTTTATTTTCTTGCCAAGATCCTCAAGGATCTTTTATTTTCTTGCCAAGATCCTCAAGGATCTTTCATTTTCTTGCCAAGATAATCTTTTATTTTCTTGCCAAGATGATCTTTTATTTTCTTGCCAAGATGATC